CCGCACCCCTGTTCAGTCCCCCCGCGCTACAGCACCCAGACGACGTGTTAATTTCGAGAATGTCACTTTATCCGTGTAGGCTAGCAAGGAACTCAGCGCATTAGCAGCGGGAGAGGCAAGACCTATTAAGCTGTTTCGAAAGTGGATGTCAAGAGGCTTCACTTTAGAAGACAGGCGCATGGTATGGCAGCTGGTCAGCCATTGTGCTCGGGATATTTCCAGCATACATATGACCACAGGTTCGGTCGGATATGAAAGGCAGATACCGTAGGCACTCAAGAGCAGAAAACAATCGCATATACATAGGTAACTCAATTAGAGACCATTTGCTATCTTTCTGTGTAGAAACCAGTTCTTTGAGTTCTTTGATTCAACAGTTCAACAACTTCCAAACCAACATCCTTATCAGTTGAAACGTTTTTGTCGGAGAGAAAAAAAAAGTCTATTGTAGGCGCTGCAGGAAACAAATGGGGGAAGCTGCACTTCCCCACGAATAAACGTACATTTGGAGACTACAAGCATTTACTGATTGGTTGCAATGGATCAACAACAATCATTTTAATTAAACTGCAAAACAAAGAGTGGAAACGAAACATTCCTCATCCATTATTTCCTTGCGTGAGCGTGAAACAATGCAAACTTAAGGCAAAAGTTTTAACGCCAAAGGCAGAACGTCAGTCACGATCATATACAAGCAAGAATTAAAAACCGTCTGGAGCATATCTGGATGTCGAGTTACGCCAACGATTTGGGATTTAGAGACCGTTTGCATTGTGCAAGTTAATCAAGAAGGTTTACACAGGAAGCATTGCCGACACTCATGCCCTGTGTCCTCAGCACACAAATGACACCACCAGTTCCTGCGCTGACACGTGTCTGCGTGTGTAATGTGTGGAAGTGCGGGTCGTCGTGTCGATACGTGCCACAATATGTGCAGGGGTCTGCGCGTTGTCGGAGAGATTCGCCGGCATTGCGGGTACAAGGTGGCCGCCCAGCCGGTCTGATGTGGCTGCCACTCGATGGGAGCGTGCGTGATTCGATCCGGGAGAGCGTATTGGTCACCGGGAATACAAGATTTGTGTGCGTGCAGTGTTCGGCGCACACTGTCACTTGAAACAATCTAAATAATGTTGCGAACGAACAGAGTTCTAAGCCGGAGTTTCGTGAACTTACTCAAAACAGGTCTAGGAAAAACTTCACTTAAGAAAATCAGCTTCATTTCTTACCAGCAGGACGAATATATTCACAAAAATTGATGTTTAGTAATATCTTAACTCAGTTATTGAATAAGCATTCAAAGCGAAGGGAAAGTTGTCAAGTTATTTGTACATTTTGCCACGTGTCTAAAATGCCGAAGTTGTTTCAGCAAGTTCAAATGTCGTGCCATGCATATCCACGGACCATTACGGCACATTTCAACAGCTTTTCATGTCTCCCAGGCGGGCATTCATCACTTCCACCTCATCACCAGAAGTTGGCTGAGCAAGTTGGTTTTCTCAGAATGACGTGGATTCTCAGCCAGGTGATTTCCACATCATTATTACTTCATCTGACTGTTGATAACGACTCAGTTATGGTAACGACATTAGTCTCCTATTGCAATAACGCACTGCTGAATAGTATTCAGGAGCTGCTGTGATATCATTGATATGAATATCATTGAGTGATATCAGATATGAATGTCATTGAGTTATACGCCTTCTTGCGATTTATTATATATTATTAGATATAATTATTAGAGACCTTCCGGTATCTCATTATCGTGCCTTATGTAGTTATGTACCGTCAGCCGTTGTGAAAAATAAACTACGGTTAAATTTTTTCATTCAAATTGTTTGCCTAAAATATAACATAATTACGTGGTGATGAGAAACAACAGGTAAGTCGTAAAAGAAGCTTATACAAATATACAAATGACCCTACTCTGAAACATAACTTCGGTTTCTATGCTGCCGTATCAGTTAGCCAGTTGCAAAAAGTTTTTTTTTTAACTCCACGGCTAAAAGCAGGATGTCAGTGCCTTTCCAACGAATCAGTCTACATAGTTGGTTTTCCAGTGGTTTGCTGGTACTCCTAGAGTTCTCCAGGGGAGGGCAGTGATCAGACTGTTTACTCAGGCTACGCAAATTGACCGGTTACCTCCTGGGAAGATGCGTAACTACATGCTTAATTGCCTTAATGATGTTTGGGTGATTGATTGGATACCAGCATGAGGTAGGCACTTGCGGATGAAGGATGTCAAATGCCCTTAACCTAGATACCACTACATTCGTAATTTGGCTATTTTTGTGACTTGTTAATCGAATTGGGTTTTAACCCGCGCCGGGCCGGTGCTCGGTGCCAACCGCGCCGGAGGGGGGGGGGGTCTGAAACTCCCGCCGTCTAACTTGGCTCCTGGGTCACGTTATAGCAACACACGGTAAAAGCATTCGAAAGAACATCTAAAATCTTGGCGTTGGCGAAAACACTTAGTCTTTTGTTAGGTCAGGACAAAAGTCACGTCACCAGAGGTCATCATTTGGTAAAATGTTGCCTATTTTTACAATTTCCCGAAAAACTGGCGCTTAAATCGGGAAGCAATAGAGCCACAGCGCCACAGCGCCGCGGAAAAGTGCATTCGATAGCCCATTAACCCGCGCCCTGCTGGGGGGGGGTGTTTGAACACCCCCCCCTGTGGTTTTTCGCGAATATCTCAAAAACGGCGGCGCGGAGCGCCGCCGTTTTTGGTACACCTTATCATACATCAATTCTACACATGTTGTGAAAATTTCAGACCAAGGTCGTTCAAGGTCAGGTCACCAGGTCACTCGAAGTGACCTCACCTCATAAAAAGTTTCAATGTCTGTCATAGCTACACCGAGTGACCGATCGCTTTGAAACTTTCAGCGATTGCTAAGAGCATTAGCATGTACAAAATGTATATCTCAGAATTTTGATATCGATGACCTAAGGTCAGGTCAATTTTGCGACCTCACCATTATAAGTCAATGGGAGAAAATTGAAATGCGCCTGTTTTGGACGAAAGACATTATAAACACTCCCAAACACTGAATTACAAGTGGTTTAGACACACTGAACATGAAAATGGTGTCTGTGACCCCTGTTTATGCCCTGAGGTCATCTTAGGTCACAAATGGTATCTAACAGTTTTTCGCAAATAACTTTTGATAGAGGCATGCTAGAGCGATGAAAACGCCTTAGATGTGTTCAGCTCGACGATACGGATCGACTGATATGCAACATGACCCTTTCCGGTCAGGTCATGACCTTGACCTGAGGTCAAATTTTCAAGTTGACCTTTCAAGGTCAAATTATAGTTCGTTCGATGCGTCTTGACGAGAGGAACACGATGCCGGTAAAAGTAAGCTCGTACAATGCTTGGGTCAAAAGTTATTGCAGAAAAACTGTTTCCGAAAAAATCGGCTATTTTTGCAGTTTTTGCCCCCTGCAGGCAAAACCGTTGACGTTAGGTCAAATCTGAGAGAATTACTCAGAAAGGGCGTTAATAGGGCTATCGAATGCGCTTTTCCGCGGCGCTGTAGCTCTATTGGTTCCCGAGTTATGCGTTGGCTTCTTGGAAATTTTCGACATTCGACCTGGAAATCGGCGAAAATTTGCCTTCAATGACCTCTGGTGACCTGACCTTTGACCTGACCAAAAAATTGACCGAAGTGATTTCCTCATTATTTTTGACGCTCTTTCGAACGCCGCCTTCCGCGTATCGCTACGTGGCCCAGGAGCCGAGTTAGAAGGGGGGGTGTTCAAACACCCCCCCCAGCAGGGCGTGGAAATCCAGGACCCCCAGCCGGGCGCGGGTTAAACATTCTTTCTGGTGTGTGCGCTCAGATTTGACCTCAGGTCAACGGTTTAGCCTCCTGGGGAAAACCATAAAATAACCGTTTTTACGAAAAAAGCTTTTCTTATAACTTTTGACTCAAGAAAGGCACAACATTTATTTTGCCAGCATTGTGTTCGTCTCGACGAGACGTGTTGGATGAACAATAACTTGACTTTTAAAGGTCATTTTGAAAATTTGACTTAAAGGACAAGGTCATGACATGACCGAACTAGGTCATGTTACATGTCAGTCGATCCGTGTCGTCAACCTTAGCACACCTAATGTGTCTTCATCGCTCTGACGTGTCTCTATAAGAAATAATTACCGAAAAAAAAACTGCTGGAAACCTTTCAGGACCTGAGATGACCTCAAAAACATAATAAGAGGTCAATTTTTTTCGGATCAGTATGCCAATTTTACCTATAACCCGATGTTTGACAGTGTTTGGAATAACTTTACCCCTTTTAATTTTCTCCCATTGACATATAGGTAATGAAAATTGAACATCTAAATATTAAAATTTCGAGGTATGCATTTCATGCTTACTGTTACTTTCATCAATCGCGGAAAGTTTCAAGACACTCGCTCAGTCGGTGTAGCTATGACGAGCAATTTTAGTTTTTGCTGAAGTAAAGTCAATTGAAGTGACCTGGTGACCTGACCTTGAGCAGCCTGGATCTGAAATTTTTCCAACATGTGTAGAAAAGAAGAAAGAACATGAAGCCTAAACAGCAATTGGTGAGACTGCAAATCACAAGAACTAATATTTGCTCATAACTAGTTTGCTTTGGACGGAACATATCACACTTCAATTATGGAATCAAACCACCGGTAGAACAAGGGCCATCATGGACAGCTTAATCTATTAATGGTGACAAATGAAAAGATAAATAGGAACTGGAAGTTTGTAGAAGTTTGGGAATGCGTCCCCACCTCACTTATCCGGGCTTTTCGCAGATCCACCAATGGATCAAATTAACTTCATTTTTATGCACTTATTTCCCTTTTTTATTATTGATCGTTACGGGCGAATTCAGCATATCAATCAAGAGAATAAATAAAATAAACCTTTTGATTGCACAAAAGATGTCAATTAACAAAAAAGTAGTCATCCTACCAGCACTGGTAATTAAACGGAGCTACAATATTTCTGTGGGCTCACCTCTGGCCATCAAACTCCAGCAGAGCGTCACGATCAGCCGTGTCACCACTGACCACCACCGCATGGTCCGCTGCAGACGCTGTCGCCACTTCAGTGGAGCACCTCCTCGCGGGGACAAACCTCCCCTCCTTCGGACACCGGCCCGTCACTCCGGTACCACATCACCGGCGCGGCGCGTCCATCACCTCACACCAGCAGCGTCCGGCGCCGGACAGAGAGAGCCTCGCCACCGCAACAGCCACCACGGCGTCGGCGGCGGGGTGCTGGCCGCGGCGCGATCCCCAGCCGCCTGTTATCGACACTGTGCCGCCGCGCTGCCGCCGCTGACGAGCTGTCGCTGCCGACGGAGCCGCCGCCGCCGGCCGTCGGAGCCGACGACGGCCCCGCCGCGGCGCGCGGCGCGCGGCCCGGAGAGCCGCTTCCGGCTGTGATCCGGAGATTACCGACACCGGAGAGCGGCCGCGTCTGACACAGATGGGGGTTATCCGACACACGGGGACCACCCGACACATGGCACTGACACCCGACATCAGACACATGTGGGTCGTCCGACAGAGGACTCACGTGTCGGATGTCGGGCACACCCAACGTGGAGGCGAGCGGCTGACATCCGATGCTGACATATGTAGCATACCAGGAATAGTTATTATCTGACACAGTAGGACCGATACCAGACACAGGCTGCGCTATATCTGACACATCCGTCATAGGGCAGGGGCTGACATCTGACACATTGCGACTCGACATCTGTTATAGGGCGCAGAGTGGGGATCCAGATCTGACAGATTGGGGAGCTGAAACCCGTCATCCAGGGGACATACATAGATGGATAGAGGAAGAGATGAGGTGTGACCAGCAGGAACTGTAGTGAGTAACTGTGATTGCAACGCGCTAAATGCACGGGAGTGTGCAATGTGTAGGTATTTGGCAGTTTCTCGCCAACCCAGCCGTGGTGGCAGTGTGTAGTTCAGTAATTCGTCAAATCGCTAGACTCTGGCTGGGCAAGTAGGCAGGCAGTTTTACGTGGCTCTGACAAATCATCAGCATTGAGTGGGTCATGATTACTAATTATCAAGCATGCTATAAAAAAATGATATAATTATATTATGATAAATTATATAAATAAATTATTATATAAATAAATTATATAAATAAATTATAGAAATGATAATTTAACGCAAGCTAAAGCTGACTGACAAAAGTAGTCTTAATTCTTAAGAAAATGGTCTGGCTTCCACCCTTTGTTAAAAGAAAAGGCAAAGCACACAAAAGGTAATTGATGGTGATAATAATTTATTTAGGAAGATCATATGACATAAATAGATAAGCGAATGTGTAGCATGCACGGAACAAGCAGACAGTTATCTAGCATAAAGACGGGCTCATGTACAGGGTGACACAAAAAAAACGGTCATCACCAAATTTCGAATAACTTCGGAAGTTTTATTCAGATCATCACTAAACTTCGGCCACTTAAGGTCACACCTATGTAGCATACATCCACCAAGTTTCAAGTCTTCACTACGAATACTTTTAGTACAGTGTGTGTTTTACTGACGCTCCACAATGTGCTCCAGGTGAGCGCCACGGCGCTGCAGGGCGTAGGCACACTTGCATCCGGCGGGCAAAGTTGTCGATAACCCGATGGCTGTGCACTTTACAGAGTGCAATGGCCTCTGGAGACAGTGCTCAGGGGGTGTGCTACCCCTGAAACGTTATTCTTATCGGGTTATCGGCAACTTTGCCCGCCGGATGCAGGTGTGCCTACGCCCTGCAGCGCCGGGGCGCTCACCTGGAGCACATTGTGGAGCGTCCGTAAAACACACACTGTACTAAAAGTATTCGTAGTGAAGACTTGAAACTTGGTGGATGTCTGCTACATAGGTGTGACCTAAAGTGGCCGAAGTTTGGTGATGATCTGAATAAAACTTCCGAAGTTATTCGAATTTTGGTGATGACCGCTTTTTTTGTGTCACCCTGTATTATGTAAGCTGAATCTTGACTAGACAGACAAATAAGACATTCCCTGAGCTTAGGTTTAGCTGACACTAAGCTGGTCACAAATGAAACAGCTGCATTAGGATCATGATTTGCGTGTCACAGCGTATTTACAGGGAGGGACAAAGGAAACATTTTCGGGCTTGTCAACAGTCCGCCATGTATCTGACTTTATTGAGCCATTCTTATCCAAATAAAAACTACACCGATACGTGAGTCAACGTAAGCTAACGTTACAGCTTTTAGCATATTTTGAAGAAGTAGATAACCAGTAAAATGTTGTTAATGAAATATTGAGGTGAGATGTTCCAGAAAAACCAAATAAATGTCCACCTTGAAAGTTAACCCTCGCCAGCCGAGGGGGGGCCAGCCGAGGGGGGGCGGGTGCCGCCCCCCCCCCATAGGGTTTTTTCGCGATAGCTCCGAACACGCTGGCGATAGAGAGCTGAAACTTGGCATACCTGACCTTTGATCCAAGCCGGATCTTTTGACACCAACCGCATTTTTGGGTCAGGTCAGGTCACTGACCTATGACGTCATAAGTGAACCTCTGCACGGTCTTCAGATGTCGCAACTTCGCAACGCCCTCACTGCCAGAGGAGATGTCACAGGGAAATGAAACTTGCAGGATCTAGTATCCATTATGAGTCCCACAACTTGTATATCTCAGATTTTTCCTAAAGGTCATATGAGGTCAGGTCATTTTCGTGACCTCACCATTATAAGTCAATGGGGAAAAATGAAAACTGCTATTTTGGCGCCGGGAACGATCTCCAACTATCTCAAGCACACAGAATCGTGATTTGATGCACTCCTTGCAAGGTTAGATGCGTCACTTTTGCAATGTTGACCTTGCGTGACGTCATTTATGACGTCATCAAGGTCATATTAGTTTTTCGTCAATAACTCTTGATCAAATTGAGCTAGCGAGTCGGGAAAGCCACCATTGGACTCAGGAAGACCTGCCGAATCGAATGATATGCGACTTGACCTCTTTCGACCAGCTTCGTGACCTGGGGGTGCTGACCTGACCTTGACCTGAGGTCAACACCCCAAGTTGACCTGACCCGGACAAAAAGTATATCATTCGACGCGCCTGGGCGAGGCGAACACGATGCTGCCAAAATCGGCGCTCTGCGGCCGTTTTTTGCGAAGTTATTCACCAAAAACTGAACCGTACCTTGGGGCACTTGACCTGACCTCAGAGGTCACCGGTTGACCTAGGACCTTAAAATCGGGTACCAATCTCTGCGTCTCGTAACGGCGCACACGCTCGTTTTTTCCGCGACGCGCTAGCTCCACCAGGGGCGAAACGGCGAGGGGGGGTCGTACCCGCCCCCCCCCCCCCTCGGCCGGCGCGTATGTAGAAAACCAATAGGTCCGGCGAGGGTTAAGACCCAGAGGGCGTTACAATGATAACTATGCTGCGCAGTAGTAATTACAGCTGATTAGGACACCAAACTAGGCATTTTGCTCTGCTGACATTGACGCGAACTTTCGAGATCTCCCTTCTCATTCGCATAAAAGCTTTATACGTCCGAGTTAAAAAGTTTCGCTGAAGTGTGCAATATTCACAGCAGCCAGAATTCGTTTCGTTTCAGTAAAAAAAAAAGAAAGAAAAAACAACAAGCAATTAGTTCAGCGTAGGTCACTGCGTGCTTCCAAGCCTATTTTCTCGTGGATAACACCCACTGATTGACTTGGTCACTGTAAATGGATTGCAGAGGTGTTAAAAAATAGTAAACGCTCACCCACCGCCCAAACACCTCACCCACCACCCATCATCACATCCAGCCATTCCAACGACACAAGCCACGTACCGCACTGCAAGGCCGCAAAGTCAAAACACGCACCTCCACAGCCACACGTCATCACCACCCGACCATCCCACCACGGCAGCACGCCGGCCTTATTCCGATTGCTGACGACCGGCCGGCGGAAAGGTCCCGATTTGAAGTCGGCCGGCGGCCGCCGGATGAAAACAGCCGCCGTCCGCCGCCTGTTACGGCGCTCAGCGAGGCATGCTTTACTCACGGCCGACTGCCCGGGGGGCGGTCAGTTGCCACGCCGCGCCGCGCCGCCGCCGGCGACTGGAACAGAGGTCAAGGATGGCGAGCCCGTCCGACGCGATCAGCAGCCGATACCATTTCGACGGTATATTCCGAACTATTTGGGTTTAATTCACCCCACGATAGACTTCTGGGACGGCAGAGGGTGCTGTATCTTAGCTTTATCGCTAAATGCAAGCCGTAAACTTGCATATAACAGCATAAACTTGTCCTTATTTGAACCGACAGCAAAGCTGAGCGATTTACGTGAATAAATTAGTTAGCTTATCACAATTACGAGCATCAAATGATGTGCGTTATTTGCTGTCATACAAAGTTTACATCAAAAGTTAAAATCCACCGTAATTACTTAGCCGACGTCAGGCTTTAGGAACATGTCTATGTGGCAAAAAAGGCATGTTGGTCCGCTTGGTCGTCATGCAGGACGCACTGAAAAGGCCCATATCAGGTCCTTTTGCTTGTTTTCAGTCCGTCTACACATGGTGGTAAAATTATCTAACACTGAAATCAAGATAGGTACTCCTGTAGTATAGGTCCAGTCAGGATTTAAATCGAGGTTGTTAGGAATAACCAAACTTAACAGGAAACAGCATTTAAGCTCTCGACAATATGCGTATGCCCGGTCATGGTAGTCACGAGCAGCCTGCAGTGACCCCCGTTGACCGGGTCCGGGTCGATCGAGGCAATCATGAAGCATTATGGGGATCTAGTGCACATTACAGACAACAATAGGCCGGTGAAAGAACGAACATCAAATCATGAACGCAATAGCAAAATACCATGCGGTATGCATGCAATTCCACATAATGAGCCTGCGATGTCTTTATTGGTAATTAGAGCACGGCTATTCCATGCGAACTAAACAAACGTACACGCCAAATGTGTTTTATGTAGGGGAAGTTGGGGCAATGCCGGAGTTGGGGCAAAGCCGAAATTCGAGATATTTCTAAAACCGTACGACATGGATGCCACGTCTCAGTGATGCTCTGAAGCTTAAGTGACTACAATTATCGCATGTTTGTTACGAGTCGTCATTTGGAATACTTCGGCTGTGAGGGCGCAAAAAGCGTTTTCAAGGTACGTTTCCCTTGAACTACATGCGCCTTTGAAGCTGCATTTCTTACTCATTATGCTACCGTTTGTCTGGCCAATTCGGTCAAGTAATCTTCAGCATGTCTTTGC